GTGGCGGCTGCCCTCCGGGCGCACGGCTGGGGCTTCCCGACCCTGGAGGTCGCGGCGAGTAACACGGGATGCGGGCCCCCTCCCCGCTGCAGAGGCCTAGCCGCCCACACCGGCCCTGCCAGCGAGGCGACGGTCACCAGCCCCAACGGTCGTCGGAGCCGGCTCCCGTCGCCCGACCGGTGGAGCGACGGGAGCTGGCCCTGGCGGGCAACGGAGCGCGGCCTCACCAGCCCCCCGCCAGCGAGGCGACGGTCACCGGCCCCAGCGGCGGGGCGACGGAAGCCAGCCCCGACGGGGCTATCGCGGCGGCGTACTGCTGCTGGTACCGCTGATACCCTCGAACAGGGACGGCATCGAGGCCGAGTACTTGCAGGACTGGGCGACCGCGCTGCCCACCACTGGGGGCGCCGCCCCGGCTGCGGTGGAACTCACGCCGATGCCCTCGCCGAGGGGCCGCCCCCGGTCCGGCTTGGCCCCACCTGCCCTGTCCACCGCGGCGGTGACTCCGCCGCGGCAACAGGGTGCGCCGCGGGCGCAGCGGCGCCCGCGGGCAAGCGCGATGATTGCGCTTGCCCGCGGGCTGACGGCGACGTCGACGTCGACGGCGACGCCCTGGACTGCTGGCTGCCGCCGCCTCCCCCGCGGGGCGGCAACGCGCCAGCCAGGCCCGGGGGAAGAGCCAGAGACTCTTTCGGGCGCTGCGCTGCGGCCGCGGGCTTTCGCGCGCTGCGCTCCTCGCGGCAGCCAGGGCCGTGCTGGGCAACCTGGAAGGGCAGGCCGGCGCGGGCGCGCCGCCTCTCGGCGCTGGGCGCTGGGCGCGGCTCGCGCCGGCGCGGCCGCAGCGCTGCCGCGGCCCCCTCTGGCTGGCGACCCGCTGCGGCGGAGGCGCCGCCACGCCACCTGCCATGCTGCACGCGGGCTGCGCAGGCCGCGGCGGGCGGCAAAGGGCGTGCGGGGGCGCGGGCTCCCCTCCCCCCCGTTTCTTCCCCGTCCCCCGCCCCTCCGCGCCCCTGGTCGTGTCGTCCCTCGTCCGTCGTCCCTCCCTCCTCTGCCAATGGGACGCTCTTGCGTTGGTGAGAAGTCTAAGTGTGTGTGTGAGTGTGTGTGTGTGTGCTGTGTGTGCTGTGTGTATATGTGTTTTTTTGTTGTGTGTGTGTGTGTGCGTGTGTGCGTTTGCGTGTGCGTGTGCGTGTGCGTGTGCGTGTGTGTGTGTGTGTGTGTGATTGAGTGTCTGTCTGTGTATGTGTCTGTGTGTCTGTGTGTCTGTGTGTCTGTGTGTCTGTGTGTCTGTGTGTCTGTGTGTCTGTGTGTCTGTGTGTCTGTGTCTGTGCGTGCGTTGACCCCGCCCAAGGGGAGATCCACTCAAAGAACATCTAAGAGAAGAGCGACGTGCCGCCGACCGCGCAGGCAAACCTGGGACGAACCCAACCCCAGGCACGCCAACACCCCAAGGCCAGAGGCCAAGTGGCCCCTCGTCCTTGTCCTTGTCCTCGAGTAGGGCCAGGAACTCCTCGCCTTTCCCCAACCTCGACGTCCCTCGAACGAGGGACAGGGCCGAACGCAAGGACGGACGCGACGCTTAACCGAAAAAGGCCTTCACCCCCCCCATCAATACTATGAAAATCCTCCACCGTGCTCCCTGGCACGTTGAGTCGTGCTAGAATGCTAAATGTTTGTCATCTTGTAATCGGGGATTTTCTGACCCGTGTCAATCCAGAACCGGGTCAGTCAAGCGTTGCAAAATCCTGCAAAATCCTGCAAGATCTGGCACCCAAACCCCGGCCAATGCGAAGGATCCTGCAAGATCCTGCAGGATATCCTGCGCACAAGCCCGGGTCAATGCGACCCTGGCCAAGCGGGATCCTGCAAGATCGGGCGCTCCGGCTGACCTCCGTTTGTATTGACCCCCGTCTCAAGGCTCCCGATAAGGGGGGGACCCCCCCTCCGGGCCGCACCTCGTCGCGCGCACCGGCCATGCTCCCGGGGGGTCCGTGGGCGGCCATGGCGCCTCCCAGGGGCTCGCCAAGGCTCCCATGACGGCCCAGGAGGCCCCCAAGAAGGTCC